GAGCTTGTCCTCGAGGTACATGATGGCGTCGAAGCCGTCAATGACGGCGGGGATGGAGTTGGAGCTGGACACGGAGGAGTTGATGGATATTAGGACGGTGTCCGTCTTGGTGTTGGTGACGGAGATGCCATCAACGGTCAGGGTGGAACTGTTGACCTTGTCCTGGATAATGCGGGGGAACCCGACGAGGACGCTGGGTGCTTGTTAGAGGGATGCGCGCGAGGCGATAGTACAACCTGGCAATATATATATTAACTTACAGAGGAAGGATAACAACGAGCGCGCCAATGGCAAGCACGATACAGATCGCCCACCACCACTTCCTGACGAAGGTACCGAAGGGGCCTCTCTTGGGCTTCTCGGCGATGTTGTTCTCGATCTGGCTGTCGCCAGTCTCGCCCTTATTAAGACTCATGGTTGCTCGTTTATAAGTGAAAACAGCGAAACGGTGATGTGATGGAAGTTGTAGTAGGCGGGAAATGCGCGATCCTGAGAGAATGGGGCCGCGGGGGGGAATGTGAGAATCGAAGAGGGGGGATTCAATGGAGGGACCGCCTGTGAAGGAGAGCGACGACGGGAGGAGAGGTGGAAGAAGAAGGTCGACGATGAAGAGAGTATGAGAACAAGACGTCGGGGGATTTTCAAGAGGGGGATCTGGGAGGAAGATATGTGAAATTAGCAGTTTGTCAGTCGGAAGAGGACTAAACCGAGAAAAGGCTAGTTGATTGGGTGCGCATTGGGCGATTTGGTAGTAGTTTTTTGGTGGTAGTTGTTAGTAGTGAGGTAGTTTAGTGAAGTTAGTGGTAGGTAGACCAGGTAGACCAGGCAGTTTAGGTGGTTTAGGTAGTCTAGCAATTTTTAGCGGGGGGGGCATACTGGGGCTCGTGAGGCGACATGTGGGACTTTGGGGAGTAGTGTAAAGTAGGTGTGAGTTGGATGTACCCCATAGATTAGTGCTTGGGTGCAATGATGCAGTGCTTGTGGTTGTGGCGTGGAAGCGAAGGTACCTTCTATCCCACAGATACAGTGGTATAAGAGAAGGGAGGCAAGATAGAGTAGTGACCCGTGCTTCTTTTCTGTGGGAGATGGAGACGACAGGGGGGTGAGGGGAGGGGGGAGGGGGGACAGGGGGCAGGGGGGGTGGAGGGGTGGAGGGGATGGGGAATGTGGAGGGATGTGGAGGGATATGGAGGGAGAATGGGGGTAGTGGATTGGAGGGACTTGAACAATTGTCATGGGCACTAAACTGTACTAGACTGGACTGGCCTGTACTAGATTGTAATGGCCCGTACTATTCCCGATCCAGCACCCGCAATGCCACTCATGATGGCTAGTGGCGAGGGATTGGCCAGTCATCATGGCGGATTATCATCTTACAGCAACCAAATGGCTCGTGAACGTCCCCGCAACCATCCCTGCAAGCGACCCCAATCCCCCCCATCGACTTGCCCGAAGCAGCTTAAGAAGATGGAAACAGCCAATCAGAGATAGTGTAGATGGTCGGGGGCTATTGGAGAAGTGGGTCAGCCACCCCGCACATCCATCGAGATTCCCTGTCTGTTAGTCTGTCTCGCCCTAGCTCGGCCTTTCCGGGCGTTTTTTTTTTTCTGCCGGTGGGAGGGATGTGACACCGACATGTGAAAGTCGATGTGTGGTGTATCCACAACAGGTAGCAGAGCAGGATACAAAGTACACTCCTACACAAGCTGTGCGGTGTAGTTACTTACTTACAAACTAACATACATACAAACTGGAGTACCCTACGGTGGCAGCTGAAAGAGAGGCGAGAGGCAAAGGGAACTGTCAAAGTGAACGTGACAGCGCCAATGCTACTGCCAATGCTACTGCCAATACCAATGTCAATACCAACAAATGCCAATGCAAATGCCAATACCAACGCAAAGGAACCGATACGGCACGATACGACACGATACGACACGATATTCCTTCTCTTTCCTCCTGCCCGTTTACCCCATCTCATCGGCCGCCCAGACGCTCACTCACTCTACGCATAACATCTAATCCCACACACACACGACACAAACAGCGCACCCTATCCATAGCCCATAGCCCATAGCACACACCAACTAACAATCACGCACGCATTCCCACCTCTCATCTCATCTCCGCCCCCCTCCGTCCCCGCCCACCACACCAAAACACCAGCGAAATGACAATCGCCCACGCCCAGCCCCATCAACCCATCACCTTGCTCGGCGCATCCTGACGTGCCCCCAACAACCCGCCCCACCCGCCGTCGCTAATCGGCCCACTGCATACACACCGAAGCCCCCAAAATAGTTCTAGTCCGAGTCTAAAAGCGGAGCATGCAGGTATACGGAGGGGGGGACAGACAGTATGTAGTATACGAAAAGGGGTACTTGTGGATTCGCGTTGGGACTAGGGGACTAGGGGACAAGGGACAAGGATGAACGGGGTGTTTAGCACGTGCTCCACTTGGCGATTTTCTTGGCTTGTGGTTGGGTTTCACATGTGGTGGGGTCACGTGTTGTGAGACAGGTGTCTTGTCTCAGGTGTAGGGAGGTATCTTATGGCGCTTTGTGTTTAAGGGCTGGCTGGTACTTCTTCATATGGTCGGTGCAAGTCGGTCGGTGCTGGGTGTGAACGCCTTCAATGGGGTTAATGACGACAGGTGGTATACTGTGGGGGGGTCTCACTGTAGGGGGTGCGAGTCTCACGGTAGGGGATGCGAGTCGCGCTGGTAACAAAGCGGCTACTGATTAACAAAGAGGCTATTGATCGATCATATATCGTACTATATCATACTAACTATTCTATACTATTACTATACTATACTATATTATATCAACCCCTAAAACACCTCCAGTATACGCGCCTCCTTCCCTCCTCAAACCATACAAACCTCTACCCTACCTCCCCCTTCCACTCCCCTCCCTCTCTCCCATTCCCTCTATCCTCGCCACCTCCAACCCCATCCCGTCTCGTCGATCCAAACCCAGCCACACCCTTCCAACCCACGGTACTCTACACCTCCCTCCCATCCCATCGATCTCCCACATGAGATCGTCGTCTGCGCGCCACCATCTACAGGGCGAATTGTGCCGCCCGGGTAAAAAAGAGAGGCGCCACCACCGTCTCTGTGAAGGTGGATTATACCGCCGGATGAGAACAGGCGCCACCTTCTATCTACAAAGGTGAATTATGCCGCTCGCTCGGGTGAAAGAGAAGGCGCTGCCATCTTTGTGTATCTGTAAGGGCGAGTTATACCGCTCGGGTAAAAAACAATTGCAGCTATAGCCGCATCACCAACAGTAAACAGCCGTAAGCCAGAAACAGTGAGAAACAAACAATCATCGCAGTCTATCTAGTTCGCACCCGTTACCCTATCCTAACGTCCCCCCCTCTCGCGACCCTTACCCATCTAGATAAAGAGTAGTGGATCGAATCGGAAGCAGGGTCGCAGTACGGGGTCGGCAGGATCACCTAAGGGCATCGGTACCCGCCTCCCAAGCCTCTCTCTCCCCGCGTTCCTCCGCAATAAAAAAAGATACCGAGGACGACGGGGGACCGAGTCCCCGCACCGCTATGTGCTGTAGGTGATCCTTAGGTAGTCTGTCTCCATTCCGATGGAGCTGGGGTCCCCACGGCGTGGGGAAAGGGAGGGATGGGATGGGATGTGGGTTTGAGGCGATTCAGGGATCGTTGTGCGGGTTCGGAGGGGGAGGTTACTACTGTTGGTTCGGGATGGAGACCCCGCGCGGGGTGGTTTGCCTCTAGCTTATCTTTGCCTTGCAGCTGTGGTTTCATGATTTGTGAATGTGCTTCTTGGCTGTGGTGATTGCTTACTTGGCTGGTGGTTCGTGGGCTGTGGTGACGTGAGGTGGGAGGTTGGGAGGTTGGGAGGTTGGGAGGTTCGGCATCTTGGGTTGGATGCATGTGAAAGAGTCGTGATGGATGGGAGTATGGGGTTGTTGGGGGGGATGCGGATGAAGGATTGGATTGCTTCTACTTGGTTTCATGTTGATGTGATGAGTGCATTTTTGAGGAAACTTGTTGGATTCTTCTATGAAGCAAGGCCTGGAAGACATGGTGCCTCGATGTGGCCTTTGCTCGTGATGTTGACGGTAATAACAGCCTAGATTATGTGTCTAGTGAGTGTCAGAGAACATGGCTAGAGGGTGGGAGAAAAGACCTGGCTGGAGGCATTTTAAATTTCGATTTGAACGAATATGAGTGTCTGGTTATTAGAAGCATCAATTAATAAAAGTCTTCAAAATATATAATATATCCGCAGAAAAAAATACCATATAATAAAACAAAATAATCGCAACCCCTTTTTACCATTGTGCCTTTACAAATAAAGTAGATTAAAAAAAGGCATATCAGGTAAATAAAAACATCATGCTATACGAAAATAAACCAAATGACAATATACGAAAATCCCAATCACCTCTAAACCAAACCCTCAACCCGCGCGCCTGCAAGCGCCACCAGCAACCAGAAGCGCCATCACCAGAGGTTAAACCGATTAACCTCCCCCAACCGGCGTTATCCCGAGCCTTATCCTTATCCTTATCCGCGCCACCACCCACCCCTCGTTTGCGCCAAGCGATATCCAATCATAACCCAGTGGGGCCATCGATCACAACCGCGTTCTTATTAGATATTCAGATGGTGTGTATACGAATATACGAGTGGTAAACTATAGTATAATGCTGGTTAAAGCTTGAGGGTTTGGTAGAGTTGGGATTGTGATATGTGACGGGATTTATGTTGTTGTAGCGGGATGAACTAGCGTAAAGGGGTATTTGGATGGGATGGATACTGAAGAGCATGAATGCAAATTTGGAGATGGCGGGATGGATGTCATAATTTAGCTACGAGCACGGCGCCCCAGGTCGTGTGCTAATGACATGGGTAGAATAATGTAGATGTGGGCGTTCCATCCTCTTTCTCTTTATCCCCCACCCTTCATATCAATCGAAACAAAAAGTGCAAAAAAAAATGACAAAAAAAGATGCCCATTCTCGGAATCGAACCGAGGATCTTCTCATATCGGACACACATTCGGTTTACGAGTGAGACGCTGTACCACTAAGCCAAACGGGCGAACTTTCCCCTTTCCCCGCTTTCTCTTTCTCCCTTTCTCACTTTCCTTGTCCCCATTACCACCAGATCGACAGAATCTATAACTCGCGAGGGGTAGTTGTTATTGATTCTAACATCTCATCTGTAAAAAAACGATAATTTGCCACGAGAAAAGTGAGGATGTGACCTGCTGGACCGAATTATCTTCAGTCCGAGCATGAGACTGGTTCTTCCGAACCGTCCTATACTTCGGCAGTATTGACACCCGACGCTCCAGCAGTTGGTATATACTATTAATATCTTCCATATATCAACCCCCTCTACCGAGCATAGCTATACACCCTCCTCAACCCCGCCCTCGCCCTACTCAACCCCACAAACCCAGTCTCCGTCTCCCCATCCTTCAAATCCCCAATCATCCCCGGAATCTCGCTCAGAGCCGCCGTGCCCGAATCGCCCAGCTCCGTCGACCGCAGCTTGTGCACGCTCTCCTGCCACTCCGCGCCAAACCGGAACATCGTGAAGCCATCCAGGACCTCGCCCCAGCGGCGCTCCATCAGGAACCCTGGCAGGAACACCTGCGGGAGGACGGTGACGACGGCCCACAGGAGGAGGATCACGAGGACCGCCTTGAACGACACGCGGCCCTGCTCGATGTCGTTTGCGGGGTCGAGGCCGAAGAGGCCCATGTCCGAGGTGGCGTTGGGGGTGGACGTCCAGTTTCCGGGGCCGGTGGCCATGACGTTCATGGAGACCTCGCCGAAGAGCTTGTACATGGCCAGGTTCATGCGCTCGGGCGAGATGGACGGGTACTGCAAGACTCCGCCGATGAGGTCGCTATCGGAGCCCGGTGGTGCCTTTTGCGTCGGAGTGAAGTAGGGGATTCCGTTGGTGGCCAGGTTGGCGCCGGTCCAGCCGGCGCAGATGACGGAAACGGCGTCGCATCTGGGAGGGCCCGTGTAGCCAAGGTAGACTGTCGTGAATGCGGAGAAGACCAAGGACTGCAATGCCGATATCCCCGGATATATGGTAAGCAATCCCGTTCCGACACGAAAGGGACTTAACTTAGTTGCTTCTTTCTTGAAGTCTTTAAAGGTATTTGTTACAGCCGAGATAGTGGCTGCGCCGACTTGTGAGTCCACGGAGCAGCGGACACCGTAGCCCAGGTAGGTCTTGTTATCATAGCTCGAGAAAGAAGACTCCACTAGGGGGTGAGATGACATGTTTTTGAATGTCTCGTCGGGAATATAGCCCTGTTCCGTGTTGAATGCCTGCCACATAACTAATTCGATTGCGCCTAGAATGGGCATTTTGGTTTCGTTGGTATAGGAGGCGTACTCCGAAGATATGTCTCGATCGCTCGCCATGAGATATTGGAATTTCACCCCTAAACCTTCCCTCTGATCAAAAAACACAGGCTGTGCTCCGCTCGTCTCGTAAGGACTAAGGACTGCATCAGCAGTATAGTCCTTAGATGTCGTAGTCCAAAGAGGACTAGTCCAGTTATTAATAGCCTTGACGTTGAGAAGCTGGAGGTCCCTATAGGGATGAACAGGCATACAAGAAATACTTGTCAGCATTCCCCATGCCCTGCCATGCGCCCGCTCACTAACTGCGGGGCCAGAAAAGAAAGTAATCGTATTGTTGAGAGTGCTAGAGCCACTTAGTAGGCGACTCTGATAGTCCGACTGGATGGTATCCTCGTAAAATGTACTGCTGACATCTGGGGTACCATCGGGAGCGTAAAGAATGGTAGCTCCCTCCGGGGTTGTTTGACGACCTTGTCGCCAGCGAGAACCGGCCAATTCAGCGGCGAAATTCGACGGCTGCATGTCGAAAGTACTCTGGTTAGTGCCTACGATTGTGATGGCACGTTTGCTGAGTTCCAGGGAATCCGTAGGTTCCATCGATAGACCGGAGAGTGGCACAGCTGCGTAAAATAGAAGGCTAGAAAAAGCCAGGTAGAACCAGAGTAGCCCGGGGCCTTCCCACTCAACCGGCCTCTCGCTGGGACGTATTTTCCTGTAGACATATCGAAACGTGAGGAGCAAAACTGCCCACCAACTGCTTAAAGAGCCCCAGCCGCGGTCGATATGCCACATGAACTTGCGACCGTCCAATGGCGCATATTCTGGTTTCATAAGAGCCGTCGCCTCAAACCCAGCGAGGCCGGACTTTGCCCAGTCGAGGACGAAAATACTGAGAATGAGCCACGCAAAGAAAACGCCCTTGGAGTCCAGAGGGCGAGAGGGGATGATATCATTCTCGGCGGGCTCCCACAGATAGTACCTCAGAATAAGAAAGTAGAACAGCGTAACGATGATGGGGCCAAGAGCGTTGAGACACGCCCGAAAGATATATCGCTCAAAGCGATAGCTGGCTGCGCTCGACTCTGACGAAGGTAGCGCTCCCTGATCCAACGGAACTTCATACTGAAGCTGAGGGCGGTGAATCCACTGACCATCGTCCTCTTTGGATGAAGGAAGATAAGTTGCTGTGTCGTGAACGGTGGCGGCTTCCTCGCCTTTGGACAGCTCCATCCTGAACGGAGATCAAGTGCTAGAGTTCTCGAGCGACGTCAAGATAAAAATCGACAGTTGAAGATGGATGCTCCGTCAGTCGCGGGCACCCGCTTTATAACCATTCTCCAGCAGACAGTGGGAATCCCTTTTTGAAGGCTAGACTCCCTGTAACTACCTCAGCCGCACCCAGGGGGCCAAAAGCGACCCTGCGTGCGGCTGGGCCATGGCATAATGGCATATAGGGCCGCTTTGCAGCGCGCCAGAGTCGCCGCCAAGAGGACGGACGGATGTGATTAGGGCAAGGATGCCGCGTTAAATCACTCCTACAATCAAAGTCGCCCAAGGTGAGAAAAACAACAGGGGCGGGGACCTATCAGCTTCGCTTCCCATACACCTGACGGCGGGGGCACAGGGAAAACGTTTTGTCACTTGGCTATGGGCACGGCACGACCCTAGTTAGCGGTAGGCTTGGCATCAGCGTGTGAGGAGAGTTTGGAGCAAGAAATAGAAGCAAAAAAAGAGATAATTGTAGATTACAAAGTAGCTAGAATACAGATATTAAAAATTAAAACGGAGTGAACATTCCATTTACTGTAATTACTGCTTCTATACGCTCAGGCATAGAAACGATTAGCCAGTGGGTTTCAAAACCTTCGTCGGTGTAGATGGGGGAAGTGATTCACACCCACGCGTGGGGCACATGCGGAGGTATCTCCGCCCAATCAGGTGACACAGATATATATATATCAATCCTAGCACAAGCCTTAGTGCTGACAGCTTCCCGCGTCGTCCATCCTTTGCTCTGGACCTTCTATTTAAGGGTTCAAGGCTGGAGCTTCATCAGGGGGGTAAGCTCGTGTGCCTACGCGGGGACGTCCTACACACAATTAACCATTGTTCTTCCTGGCACATCCCAACGGGTGAATTCACACAAAGAGGCTTGCCTCCTCTGCAGGAGAAACTCTATTGACTCGGGGCCCCACGTTGTTCTACCGCGTGCGTATTGCGGGTGCAGTTCTCATTGGAAGATGGCCCTTTCCCATGACGCTTGGTGGGTACTGGCCCAGGAATGCACCTCTTACTGTCCCTTGTCTGTTATCATGCCCCTCAGTGCTTCAGCTTAAATCTCCGTCTCAGCTCCTCCATGCCAAGTTTGTATGTTGCAATTTGTGTTATGGCAAGGTCACAAAGTCGCAGGTAGATATTCTTCCACTTAGATAGGAACTTCGCGCTTAACTCGGTATAATATTCTTTACATGCTGCAAGTGTAACAAACGTAGTGTAGTAGCAGTTTGGATCTCCCGATATCCATCTCAAGCGCTTCATCTCCGATCTATTGTCCATATCTATATCTATATAACGTTTTAGGAAATATGTTAACCAAACTAATTAATGCACTGTAAATGCCGCCTATGATATGAAAAGGGCCATAAAATAACCAATAAAGAAAAAGGAAAGATTGTATGTTATGGAAACATATGTAATGGAAGGTAGACTATTCGGCCTTCTTAGTAGCTTTGGTCCTCAACCTCATTAGAAGGTAGACCATGCCGTATGAGCTGATCGCGAAGATGACGACGATAGCGGCATCTCTCCAGCCGTAGTAGTAGTCATGTAAGTTGATAGTGTAGAGGTAGTCGCTGCCCTGTCGGTACTGACAGACTTTGCAGCCCGAGGTCGCGTCCGGGTTAACGAGGTTTGTTCTAGAACCCATTCCCTGGAGATAATCTGCCAGATAGGATGCGCAGGTTGTTCCGTTTGGTGTATCGAAGAGGGCGAATTCTTGCTCGGAACAACTGACAGTCTTATCAAAGAGATCGAATACTAGCATGCTACCCATCAGGTAGTTGAAGGGGTTGAGGTAGTACATCCAGTACCTCCAGAAGCTCGTGATCTGTGCGTATGGAACGAGGACACCGCAGAAGGACACGAGGGTACCGATAATGACAGGGTTGGTGAGTGAGGCAAAGGTTGCGTTAGGTGCGTATGCAGCGATGAACTGGCCAATACCGGTGTAGATAAACTCGTACATGAGCATGACGAAGAAGGTCGCACCGGCTTTGTTAGAGTCGCTGGGGAAGCCGACAGTGTAGTACCAGCACACGAAGTAGAGTACGGCGCAAATGCAGAGATATGGGATCTCGGAGGTAACCAAGCCGGTAACGAATGCAATCCACGAATACATCTTGGACTTCTTCTCTCGGGCCTCATAGATGCTGCGTCGTTCAATGAAGAGCGGCTGGAGCTGGTTAATTACACCAGGCGCCACAAAGATGAAATTGAAGATCGTGAATAACGCAAGCTGCAGATCAGTGACGCTGTCTCCGATCATCCAGAATGAGAACCCATTGAACAATGCAGATCCGACGTGTAATAACATTTTGTTGTTCACATAGTCTGTATTGCGGTATAGAGAGACGTTCATCCGTTGACTAACAATCTTAGTCTGTTGCCATAGAGACATGGCGAATTCGTTGCCATCGTCAACTGTACCAGGGG